TCAAAGGCTGGGAAAGTATGAGGGGGAGAGGGGGGATACACAAAATTATTTGCTATCAAAAGTCCAAGGAAAACATTTAAAATAGGAAACCATAGAATGAAATGAGATTTTTCTTTCCAGAATGTTGTGGAATTTAAATTTTTTTTAAATAATGCATTTATTTAAAAAGCAAATAGGTAAGTTGAACAACACAATTAAACCTAGCTTAACTGACATATATAGAACATTGTCACTGAACCAACAGTATACATATTTTTCGTTGCACCAAAAGCTTTTACCAAAATTGATCATAGCTGGACCATCAAGTAAGCCTCAGGAAATTTCCAAAATAATTTAAAATAATACAGTGTTCTCTGAACACAGTGGGATTAAGCGAGGGAAAAAAGAAACAAAAAAACAAAACTGGAAAGTCCCTAACTGTTTATAAAACAGGCAGTAGAGTTCTAAATAACCCACTGGTCACAGAAAAAAAATAAAGCACAAAGGAAATTTTAAAAAATTAACTGGTAATGAAGATATGCCATATCAAAACCTATGGTATACAAGTAAAGCACTAAAATATACAACTTTAAACTCACACATTACAAAAGAAAGGCTGAAGTCAGTGATCTAAGTTTTCACGTCAAGAAACTGGGAAAGAATAGCAAATTCAAAATGTAGAAGGAAGAATGCAGAAAAAAAAAGCAGTGAAATAGAAAACAGATGCACAATAAGGAAAATCAGTGAACCCAAGTCATTCCCTCAAAAACAGTAAAACTGATAAACCCATAGTCTGATCAGGAAAAAAACCTCAACATTAGAAATGAAAAAAGAGGGACTTCCCTGGTGGTCCAATGGTTAAGAATCTGCCTTCCAATGCAGGGACGCAGGTTCGATCCCTGGTTGGGGAACTAAGATCCCTCATGCTACGGGGCAACTAAGCCCACATGCCACAACTAGAGAGCCCGCGTGCTCTGAAGCCCGTGTGCCGCAACTAAGACCTGATGCAGCCAAAAATAAATAAAATAATTTTTAATGGAAAAAGGGACATCATTCATATCTTAGAGTCACCAGTATCATAAACTTCCAGAAACTATAGAAAAGGGGAACAGATCTCAATTCACTTTTAAAATATATATATATTTATTTATTTATTTATTTGGCTGCACCAGGTCTTAGTTGTGACACACGGGATCTTTAGTTGCGGCATGCGGGTTCTTAGTTGTGGCATGCGGGATCTAGTTCTCTGACCAGGGATCAAACCTGGGCCCCCTGCATTGAGAGCATGGAGTCTTAACCACTGGACCACCAGGGAAGTCCCTCAATTCACTTTTGAAGCAGTATAACCCAGCAACCAAAAACTGTCAAAGATATCACCAGAAAGGAAAACCAGGTGCTAATCTCTCCCGGGAATGTTAATGTAAAACTGCCAGACAAAATAAGCAAGTCAAATCTAGCGATATATAAAAATGATAATAGGTCATATCTAATTTGGGTTTACTGCAAAAGTACAAGATTGATTCAACACTTGAAAACTAATGGATTCAATTCACACAATCAGCATATAAGGAGAAAAATCAATCTAAGATGGAGGAAAGAACACTATTCAACAGCTATTCATGATTTTTAAAAACTGAAAACCAGAAATAGAAGGGTATATCCTTAATCTCATAAAAATCTTACATATGTATGTAGGTAGGTTAAATATAGGTAGGTAGGTTAATTGATTACACACAAATATATGTGTGTGTGTGTAATCACTTTGACCCAAAATAAAATTAACTTATAATTTAAAGAAGTAAAAAGTTTCATATTCATGAAAAAAAAAATTTTTAATAAAAATCTTAATAAAAACTCTACAGTAAACCTCTAAGTGATAAAATATTGAAATCATTCTCCATGAGATGAGGAATAAGATAAGGATGTCCACTATCACAACTCCATATACCATTATACTGGTCCCAGCCAGTGTGATTAGTCAAGAAAATAAAAGAAGGGACTTCCCTGGTGGTCCAGTGGTTAAGACTGCTCCCAATGCAGGGGGCCTGGGTTCAATCCCTGGTCAGGGCTCTAGCCCGCATGCTGCAACTAAAGATCCCGCATGCTGCAACTAAAGATCCTGCATGCTGCAACTAAGACCCAGCACAGCAAAATAAATATTTTTTTAATTAATAAAAGATTTTTTAAAAAAAGATTATAAAGGAACAAAAAAAATGCTGACAACATAATTGTGTATGTAAATAATCCAAAAGAATCTACAGACTCTTAGGATTAAGTGAATTTAGCAAGGTCACAGAATACAAAGTCAATATACCGCCCCCCCCAAATCAATTATGTGTTTCTAAATTTAAAAAAATTTTTAATAAAAGATTTTTAAAAAATAAGATTATAGTACAATAAATAGAAAATGAAATTTCAAAAATATATTGTTTATAATAGGATAACAAATAGCTAGAAATATCAATAGGTTTGTCAAAAGATATGCAGAACTTTACATTGAAAACAATGAAACATTCTTGAAAGAAAGACTGACAGGTGTGTGGTCAAATCATGTATAGTCAATTCACCAAAATTTTTTTTTAAAGGACAAGTTATTAGTAGTGTTAGGAAGGAACTGGACTTTTAATTAATTAATTTATTTATTTATTTATTTTTGGCTGTGTTGGGTCTTCGTTTCTGTGCAAGGGCTTTCTCTAGCCGCAGAGAGCTGGGGCCACTCTTCGTCACGGTGCGCAGGCCCCCCACCGTCGCGGCCTCTCCTGTTGCAGAGCACAAGCTCCAGACGCGCAGGCTCAGCAGTGTGGCTCACGGGCCTAGTTGCTCCACGGCATGTGGGAACTTCCCAGACCAGGGCTGGAACCCGTGTCCTCTGAATTGGCAGGCAGATTCTCACCCACTGCGCCACCAGGGAAGCCCTCACCAAACATTTTTCTTCCTTGTTATAGGTTAGCTTCTGTCTGTTGGAAGCAAAGGGGAAACTTGCCTATGTTCTCAGCTATTTGGAAATCTCACTGTGAAAGTTTCACAATAACTTAGTTTTATTTCTTTAAATTG